AAGGAAGCCCCGGATGTATGAAAACCCACGATAAAATGATATAAAATGTGGATGTATGACGATTGACCTATGAAAATGTGGATGTCCCAATTGCATCCGCCACATGAAAGCCATCTCCACACCTTCGCTTCACACCTTTTGGGAGCATCGCTCTGATGGATTAGGCCGTTTTCAGCCCGTGGTTTCACCACCAGAACAAGGTCCATGGGTCCACGCACACTCTGTGCTGGGCACCTTGCTTTGTCGCCTGATGCTCCAGCTTCAGGCTTTGAACCCTGTTGCTGGTCTCCGCCTTGGCACGGCGGCATCGGTTCACACTTCCCTGCAGCTTTCTGGAGACCAAGACCTTTTGGTCCTTGGGGGCAGTGGCAGCAAAGTACATCAGGAAATCCAGAATGTTCATTTCAGAATATGGCCAGGCGTTTTGTTGCAAGTAGCGCACCTCCCCTTGCTGTGAGTTGCCGAGAGTACCATCTCTCTTGGTGACCACGAGCAGATTGCAGCCACACTTCACCGCCTCGAGGGTTTTCCTCTGCCAGAGAGAGAACCAAGCGCAGCCAAAGTATTGCTTCCTCGGACTTGCTTGAAGGAGGGAAAACGGGACAGAGACAGAGAGAACACATATATTTATATATACATGCATTTAGCGTGTAGATATAGATATGCAATGTTATGCATATATATATATATATACATACATCAATGCGTGTGTGTGTTTGTGTGTGCACGTGTGCACGTGTGCACGCGCATACTCATACGCATCTGAGTCTGCATATATGTAAACTTCCCCATTTTATATGGGCTCCCAAGTTCACTTAAAATTCATCAAAATTCATCAGCCGCCCAGCTTCTGCCCATGGTAGAGATGCATACAATGGCACATCTGGCCATCTCTTCCAGTGCGAATGTGTTGCCCATAGCCCGGTGCAGAGCTGTTGGGCAAAAAGATGCAACTGGTATTCAGCCCACTCTCAGCCTTGGCCGCTTCCTTGGTTAAGAAGTTCCATGCCCTTCCATAGGCCCCAGGGAAACTCACAATCACCAGGGCGTTGGGGGTAAAATCATCGACATTGTTGCCAATGAATGGGATGGGCTCTGACTTGTCTTCTTTGAGCAAGTCTTCGTAGTTTTTTCCCCCGTGACAGATGGGCACAGTAGCTGGAGCTGAAGGATGTGGGCGACACGTGCAGAGACAACCATCCATCCCGCGTTATCGGACAAAGCTGGCTGGGACACCGGTGACCTTTGGTGAATTTGAACCCAAGAAAAAGTCAGGAATACTAGGTATGACATGGTATGACCAGGCGATTGAGCTTTCCTGTCCAACGAAAAACCATCACGTGATCAAGTGGGTATTGACATGGATTCCGCCCTTTAAAGCAGGAAGTGGCAGGCTGCTGGCCCTTTCTTAAAGCAGGAAGTGGCAAATGGCAAACCTTTCTGACAAGTATCATCACTGGTTGAGGGGCCGTACTCCACCAGATTATCAGCAATTAATATGGCCAACTCTGGATTAGATAATTAATCCCAAGTTACAGGGGAAAATTATAGAACTTTGGAATATATTTTATATATATTAGAGGAATATGGTTGAGAACATGGATACCACAAACCACTGATCAGTGCTTTCAACCCAGAGCCCCACTGGGGCCACTAGGGCCTCCGGCCATGGCTGAAGCGCGGAGTGAACGGAGTGAACGGCAAGGTCCAAGGTGTAGGCAGCCGGCCATCAGCAAAGTTTTCCAACAAAGAACATCTCCAAAATCCATCCCCATCTTTTCCCAGAAAAAAAGTTCAGGTATGTTTCAGTGATGTTTGATGATTTTTCTAGGATCATATCATATATCATATATACATATATATATATATGTATGTATATGTCATATTCAAACATGGTTTCTGGTTTCCTGTCTTTCCCTTACCCATGCGTTCACATTCCGGGATTCGCTGAGACTCTGAGAGCTGCACCAGTTCCTCTTCATTCCGCACTTCGGCTCTAACCTGGTGGGGGCTGAGGTCTTGGCCTTTCAAAAAATAGGGAGCTCAGCATGAAACGATGAGTTCTTCATGGATTATCATTCTGGATAAGCCATTAATCACTCAGATTTTACAGTACAAAAAATGATTAAAAAAATGTGGATTCAATCAACAAAAGATGACATTCATCGCGTTTTTTGGAAGGGCAAATCTAAGGGAAACCAGCCACTCCGCGCCACTGCAGGGTCTCATTTTCCCACATTCAATGCTAGAAAATTCAGGGGGCTCCACATATAAAGGCTATAGTGGCTATAGGTTTTCTTTGTAGGGCATCGAACCCCGTCATTATCGTCCTTGCAAAGTTTATCATAGGAGTATGACCACCATTCTTCTTGGCCCCTAGTTGAGTCATATGCCACAGTTTCGACTATCCATTTCTTCTAGATTCTAGATATAGGACGTCACCCAATGTTCCCATGTTCTTTGCTATCCCATACCTCCATGTCTGTTGCCAAAGCCTCCGCTGCAAGGTAACTTCCAAACTTTCCAGAAGTTCAACATCTAGGGCTTCAAATTTTCTCAACATGTCATAAGTAGACTTTGAAATCCAGCCCGTATTTTCTGGTACTTCCCCTGCGGGGCAGGCCCGCGAGACGGCAGGCGCGGGCACATCTACGCCTCAATGGCCATGGTGCAGCGCTCACCAACCAGATCCAACCTGCCTTCAAGTGGGTCATCCCAAGCGGTTAAGCCAGTTCTTAAGGGTTTATTTTGAGGGAGGCACCTGCATCTTGCAATCACCCTGGATGGCTCACCTGGATTTTTTGGGGGATGATTCAGGATGATCAGAAGATCTGGTGCATTTGCCATTGCAGTTTTAGTTTTTCAGATTACCCTCTGGTAAACTAACATAACTATGGAAAATCACCATGTTCAATGGGTAATTCCACTATAAATGGCCATGTTCAATAGCTATGTTAAATTACCAGAGGGTACATCCCCTTTTCGTTGCACTAGTTTTGCTCCCCCAAAAAATGTAGGTCGGACTCGCATTGCGCTCGCGTCCTGTTCCGGTGATCGCCAAGGTGCTGTGGGTCGTCCCATTCGTTTGCCTGTAACCTGCCAGGCTTATCGGATCAAATTCAACCAGGACACATGTCATGGGCGAAGCCATCCAGGTTTTCTCCAGAAAACAACATGTCCAAATCATGTACAGCATGGTTTTGAAGTAGCTGTAGGTCTTTAGCTCAGCATTTCCGGATCGTTTGTGGCTTGCTCCAACAATGGAAACCGGTGTAGGATCGAGGATTTGCCAGGCGAATCATGGTGGATGTTTCATTGAAAGATTGCCAAGAAAAAATGGACCAAACACATGCTGGAAAAATATGGTAAATATCCGTTGAAGGATTTCTTTTCCATATCCCAAAAAGATTATTTAAAAAAAAACACATTCCAAACGATATCCCAAACAGAAATATCCAACAAATGGTGAGTTGTCCATAGCATTTCCATACCATACCCATATATTATCATATATTCCCATGAGAAATGTACCTCCGCCCAGCGCGGGTTCCGGCTCCACCGACTCCAGTGGTGGCAGCTCGTCGTCCTCCTGAGGGCTAAAGTGATCAAGAAAATGTGAATCTTTGGGTGATATCATAATATATCATAATATATCATAATATATCATAATATATCATAATATATCATAACATATCTATGTTTTTCCGAACGTTTTTTTTCCGCATGTTTTTGGTTTGAAACACTAGTTTCGGACATGTCACTGGAAATGATGCTGGTTTGAGCACTTTTTGGAACAAAGGCTTTCACATTTTCCGGAGATGTTCCTTTCAATTGAGACCGCGGGGGACGAGTTTCAATTTGGGACATGGTGTTTACCATCCAGCAAGCTTTTCGTGCGATTTGGGATCCTCGTCCGTAGCGAATTGTTTTGCCACAAACCGTGGCTGCAGCCAGAAAAAAATGGCACTGCGACTGCTACCAAAAGGTGCATTTGAACAAGACAAACATAGAAATGAAGCGACATGTTTTAGAACAAAGCATGTCATTGCCGTCAAATTTTGTCAAATGATCGTTGATATGACAATCTGGACGCTTCTGGAACTGGTGAACTTCGAAAGTCGGTGGAAATCCCACCTCGACTGGTGGAGCCTGCTGAGCCTCAGGGGAAATGTTCAAGGAGCCATCATGACCCACAAGCTGGGAGGAATAGGGATTTCCCGCTTAACAGTTGTCTGTAGTGTTTAAGCCGTTGAAGCAACCAAACATGTGCGGGGAATGTGGATTTTTTCCAAGCCAAAATTGCGACTGAATCGTCCTTCAGAATTGGAATTTGCATGAATTTACCCAAAAAGTGTAAGAGTTTGACCCTGGAAACCGTCCAGCCCCAAGTTCGGGAAGTAGCCAAAATCAACACCCAACTCATGGTCGGGATTTTTGGAGGACCGGGGAGAATTCATGGTCGTTGGGGGACCGCAAAGTCACTAGCCAATGCCCAAGCGGAACTTAAGAAGGAAAAAAATATCAGGCCTGCCGGCAAGTAGACTAGAATGACTAGAGTTCAAGGAAGCATGCAACATATTGCACGCTCGCAGGCTCCCAAACATTCCACTGTCCCAAATCCAGAATAAATCCAGAATAAATCCAGAATAAATCACTTGAATCACTGCCCTTCACTTGGGCCCTTCACTTGGGGTCTCCGGTCTCCGTTTCACACACCACTCTTTCAAACAGCTCTCCGTTGAATCGTTCAGAATCAAGGCCGCCCGGTCTTCGTTGGCGGCCTCCGGATCTCCAGAGGCGACAGCAGATGGGTGCTCTGTTGGGTTTTTTGGTTTTCCCAAAGTGACTTTGGAGAAGCACGTGATGGCCACCTTTATATGGGGGATATGGGGGATATGGGGACCAGAGATTATACAGGTCCGAATTGAAAATCTCTGAGGCTCCCATATCCCCCAGATTTTTGGAAACCAAGCCGTAGAATCTCAGAACTGCAAGTTGCCTCACTCAGAAAGCACCCGGGCGTGCCGCTGCTCGTTGGAAGGTAAGCGCCACAGCGGCAAGAGCAGGGCAGTGACCAACAGAGCGCCGCCAGCCATCAATACTCGCCACACCTCTGGGGAACACTGGTGTCAATCCTCCAATTTCCCAATGAGCCAATGAGCCAAGTAATTCATGGTTGCCAATCATCGGAATGTTTTTTATAGCTGTAGTTTTGATCATGGTAAAGTCCATATAAAACAAGAATGACATAGGAATAGAGAAAAGAATCGTGAAATTGATTAGTGGGTATTGTTCCTCCCCATTTTACTGCCCCCTTGGTGTGTGTTGTGATCTGAAAGTCCCACCCGTGTGGATGGAAACATCCTGGGAACACTACAGTAATCCCATTCCCCCTTTTTTTCAATCAATGACCGAACCCCAAACGACTGGTGGAGTGTGATGGTTCTATCCCTTTTAAATGTAATGGATCTATTCATAGATCTATCCCTTTTGCCCCAAATTTCTGGTATTTCATATTATTTTGGCTGAAATCCTTAGGGGATTCCTAGGTCCAAATTGCCAGTTTCCCAGGCCTGCCACCCTGAGCTTTGGATGAGCCAACCCAGGGGCAACCCCGCAGCCGCCGCGCCGGTGTAAGCAGACCAGCCCAGCAAACCTGCTCGGACGCCGCTTCCGGGGGCCGCTTCCGAGATGAAGTTCAGATGGTTCAGATCCATACAACTGCGATATAATATATATATGTGTGTGTGTGTGTGCGTGTGTCGGTGCATATGTGCATATATAATTATTTATTTATCTATTCATTGACTTGTCAAGTGTCTCAGCACGACCAAACAGCTATTGCTGTGAGGACAGGGAAAAAATTGCCACAGCTGGCTCCACAAGCCCACGGGCCCTCGCCCAAAGGGGTTGTCTTGGACAACATAAGTCGTGAACGCCATCTATTCATTTATTTATTCATTTATTTAATATTGTTATTTTTATATTATATATCAAAATGGGGTCCTAACTTCAGAGATCATGCAATAGCACACGTATGTTCCCTGTGTAATGGGGGAACTGCTGAATAGACCCGCTTAGATTGGCATTCAAGACAGCCAATGGACAGGAGTCATAACCACTTAAAATCAATGTTTACCAAAATAGAAGCAAGAACATCTAAGAACATCAAAACCTTCAGCTGAAAAATGTCCTCAACGTTTTGATGCCAGCACACGAATAAGTTAAAATATGAGTTTTGAGCGAGAAAAAAAAACATATAATCAAACTCGACTATATCATATATATATATCTAAATATCACACATTACATGCATGAAATCCAGGTATATCCAGCTCGAGTCCTACATCTACATCTATACGCCTGCATGTCGGGAAAAAGAAACGTTAGTCCTACAGTATCTAGTCGCTTGGCCCAGTTAATATCCCATTCATATCCATCAATTGTTATATCATCAATCTCATTAAACGTCCAATGGATATATTTAATATCAATGGAAACTCGTATCCAAATTCACCTATAGAATATCCATCATTCATCTTCCATATAACTTTGTAATATATCCCATTGAATTTCAATCTCCATGGAAGACCAGATCATCCAATGGACCAATGGACCCACCCCACTGCGGGCGTCAAACGTCCACGTCCACCTTGCGACACCCCGGCAGCGCGGCCGCTCACCAATTCCAAGCCGCACAGGGCGCAGAGGGACTGAGCCACGTACAAGCCGAGACCCAAGGCGAACATGGCGGGATAACCTCGGTCCCCATGGGAAAACCCCCGATTTCATTGGGAAAATCACTGGGTCAATTTTTGACCCAGAATTCTGATATGATCTGATATCTATGGTTGAAAAACCGGCGGTTGAAACAACCGAAGCAAATGCCCATTTGAAGAATGATTTAGAATCCTACACGGCTACATAGTCCTAGCTCCATGCTTCTGGCAAATCGAAGCGACTCAATCCAATTCTCTCTGGTGGAAAATTGCTGGCAAATATATATCATTTCATTTAATCCAATTTAGCCCCCGATTTCACAGATTTCACACGGAAGATCATAGTGTCCTAGGGTTTTGCTGGTTTTCTTTACCAATCCCCCATTCAATAACATTTAATTCCCAATTTACACGGAAAATCGGTTTTTGACCCCAGCCTAATTGACTGATGAATCTTGGGCTCAGAAAACCCGAACTCTCTGCAGAGGCTAAGGGACCGATGCGGCCGCCGGGCGCAAAGACCACGGTGAAGACGGACGGAACCATGACACACAGAACGAAGGTCATAGCCACCTCAAGGGGACTTTTGAAGCAAAAATGATGATGAGTTTCTCAGCAATTTATGGGGATTTTTGATGGGAATATCATGGGGGTATATCATGGGTAATGGGTGGTTAAAGAATGAGCAAACTTTATATAAAAAAATGTTGAAACATTTGGATGTTGTATGGAAAATTGGCATTTTGCGATGATAAAATCCGTTCGTTTAATCCATTTTAGGCTCGGCTACTGCCTATCATGTGTTTGGGAAACTCAATTCGTAGCTCCATGGTTCTCAAGTTGCTAAGAAAATCCTGGATACCCGAAACGCTCAGAACTGATGCCATCCTGCTGTCTACAAGAATGAGGAATGAGAAATTTGCAAAACTCATTCTACTAGACTAAAGGAGAACTTCTGTGTGCGCGTAGAAGAATGAAAAAACTGAATTCAAATGGAAGTCTAATCCGCGAAATGGGCATGGACCTTGGCTGAACCAACAGAAATGTTGATAGCAGTTAATAAACGTATTTCCGGAAGTCTCCAATGTGACAGAATATCTGTTCATGCATAAGTCTATGTTCAAAGAGGTCACTTCTTTTGGTCAACAATTCAACAAATGCTAGTGCTGGCATTCGATGTCCAGGCCTGGAATCAGGGGATTTTGCCATTCGGGGGATCATCTTTCCTAATGTCCATCTATTAGGGTCAACTAGACCAAAAGACCTGTGCATGACTTACATGTTTTCCAAATCCAATGTGCTAATGTGCTTTTGAGCAGCACCCACAGCTATATATCCTATATGAATACTACCCTCTGGTAAACTAACGTAACTATGGAAAATCACAATTTTTTATGGGTAAACCTACTATAAATGGCCATTTTCAAGAGCTATGTTAGTTTACCAGAGGGTATCCGAAAATGTCACTGTTGTCACAAGATGTCACACCCCCTGCGCCTGCACCCGACACCCCACCAGTGGTGCGGTGGATCCCGTTTCACCGCCACGGAGATGCCAGTAGCGGTCGCTCAAGGGACCACTCAGCACGCTGCCAAACAGCCCACCACACCTCTCGGTCAGCCCGGGCACATCCCTTTTTCGTCAGTGTCAGCGTGTGAATGTGAATGTAGAATATGTATGGATGTATGTATGTATGCATGCATGGATGTATGTAATGTAATGTAATGTAACGTAAGGTAACGTAATGTAACGTAATGTAATGTATGTATGTATGTACGTACGTATGTACGTACGTATGGACGTATGGATGTATGGATGTATGGATGTACGTACGTATGTATGGATGCATGCATGCATGTATGTATAAACACACATTTTATAGCCAAGAATGATATAAGGCATTGAAGTACCCATCCAAAGTTGACCCACCTGTTTGGACCCAGTAAATTGATAAATTGGTCACTGTTTGGATCTGAAACCATCCAGTTTTGAGTGGATCAATAACTTGTTGACCCACACTCATCGGTGGATGGGGGATGAAAATCCATAACTGCCAGCTAGTTTAGAGAGCCTGAATGCAAGGCTTTTGACCCATACCTATCTTAATGTGACAAGGTGTGGAATGGCATTGGTCATAGACACTTGGAACCCGTTTTATCACCAACATCGGTGGCTTCCGGCAAGCCATGATTTCTTATCGGAGGATATCAATATGGGTTTTAAACTATCTAAAACTGGGAGCGGTCAATCTGTTCTTTCCATGTGCAATTTTGACCCTTTCGTTCCATCTCAACTGGGAATTTCCAGAGTCTCGTTCCGTTCGTTGTATGCGGCACTGTATACGCATGCCGCATGCCACGTAGAAAAGCGTCAAGTGCTTCACTTGTAGCCGCTTCGCATCGTCCATTATCTGGATATCTCCTGTTTATCATGGAATAAACACACCATCTCGCTACCCACGCACAATGGGATGATCAATTGCAGTTCCTGCATAGTCATCCCATGTCATCCCAAAAAAACATGAAAATATTGGGATGAAACCACCAGATTTTCTTCCAAGGCACTCAAAAGTGCTGAGGCGCGGCGCGGCAGAGAGCGCATTGTGCCCATAGGACTGCACCTCCCCAAGATGCGCAAGAAGAGTTCCCCCCATCACCGAAAACTTGAACTTGGGATCCATTTTAACGGATGATTTTCCTATCCCATGTTGGGATTTCACAATCCAAAATGACCATCCAAAAGTCTGATTTACCAACCAGGGATCCTCTAATCAAACTACAGTCGATTGTTGAAGTCACAGCAAGTTTCTTGAATGTGGACATTCATGGCTTGTGGAAAAGTCGGCATGACCCGGTCACAGCAGGGTCATAATCCATCAACACACAAAGGGGTTGTCTTCATGTAAAGGATATGAAGCAACAGCAAAATCAACACGTTGACTCCAATTACATAGTCTTTGCTAGGCATTTGTCTCAGGTGGTTCCATTCATATCTAGCTTTCATTACAAATGGGATTGCGAATTAGGTGTTCGTGAGTAATACCATTGACTCCATTTGTATCCATTTGTTATGAACTAACTACTGACAAAGGGATGATGTAAAGTACGATAATTCTGGAACTAATGATTGCTTGGTTTTCATTGATTCCAGTAGCTACTTTCCATTGGTACTGGGATGATCACTGGGGTTCTCAGAGGTCCCCATGGCCCCATGGCCCCATGGCACATAGAAGGCCAACCAGCAGATCAGTGCGCTCTTCAGGCCGTAGATGAGAAAGTTGGCCATGGCCAAACTGGCCATGCCCGGCTGCAGCAGACAGCCCCTCCAGAACAATGAGGCTCCGCCTGTCGGACGGGGTGGGAACGCCAGCACCACTAGGTCCAAGCAACGATAAAATTGGGGAAAAGGTACCGAAGCAAACCATGTGAGCAGATCAACCCAGAAAAGTCTGCCCAAAAGTATCACTATAGCCCCCAACGAGCCCTGGCCAGAGCCCTTTTTCCAAGTCACTGAGCTGATCCTCCGCGGAGCCCGGCACGGCAGGCGCCTTCGCCTTCGCCGCCTTCGCTGCCTTCGCCGCCTTCGCAGCGGCAGCGGCACTGGGAGAGTCGTGCACCAGGAGAAAGACCAGGAAGCTGACGACGGCCGCGCTGAAGCCTCCATCGCAACGTGGTTTTTGCTCACCCAAGTCGGTTTGTTGCTTTATTGAACCCCGTTTCTGATAAGAATACTCAAACCGTAATCAATACACTCGTAGACTGTAAACTTTGCTTTCTGTGGGGCCCTAGCGCAGTTGTGAATGGATGTAGATGCGGCAACCGTCCCCCATTGGAAAATCTCGCCTGCCAGCAGCAGACTTCCACGCCAGCCAGCAGCTGCCCCAAAGCCTACCATTAGCGGCGCCAAGGCGCCACCCAGGTTGTTGGACACATTCCACAGCGACCAGAAGAAGCCGCGCTCCTCGCGGCGGATCTTTTTGTGGTTTTATATATCATATCTCAGTGTCAAGTTCTTGTGACGCAGATGCATCAGCATGGAAAGCATATCAGTTTTCACCCACTGCTCCCCAGCTACATTGCCAGTTTAAATCCCATTCAGCTAGAGATTTTGAAACACAATTTTAATTAAAGATAGCGTAGGTTTCCCCTTCTCCTTGGCGCTGCACCAGGCACTGATGATGCGGGCACAGGAAGGACTCCCCAAGCCCTGGAAGAGACCATTGAGGGCCCACAGACCTGCCAAGTGGGAGCACCGAGAAAGTGACAAACCGGTCCCGCTAAAAGGCCAAGTGAAACCCCGTGGAAATAGATCAGGGCGTCACGCCAGAACATTGATTGGCTTCGAATGAAGCAACGTTTTCTCCCAAATCATCGCTGACACCAAGCAAGAAATAAAGGTGGGCTTGGGACTCAAACAACACTCTGCCAAGCCAACCGACCCTTTTTGGTCCAAAAAAATTGGGTCCATTCTCCCATTTTGGTCCCAAAAAAAGATGTCCTAAACCTCCGCTGCAAGGCACCTGCCAGGATCAGCACCAGCTTGGTGGCTCCGTCGCCGGGCGCCAGGGACGCCAGCACGTTGCAGCCAGCCGTCAGCAGGAGACCAACGACCAGGCACCGGGAGGGCGAGAGGTCGGCTGTCAGCACGCTGGAGAGGATCTGGGGCGTTGGGACATGTTGGGACCATGGATCCAGGGGATCCCCTGTCATGTCACCGGCAGTGCTATGTTTTGGGGGGCGGATGTAAGAATGCACATTGTGTTTCAAGCAGTAAAGGAGATAAGCAACATATTAGCCACAAATATGGGGATGTACTGGAAACGCATGATGATTAACCACTGACTATTAATTAAGTCAGAAAAGATTCAGATATATATATATATATAATCAGCTCATTTGGACCCCAAGGGCTTACATATCATCAGGATGAATAATTACTCAATGGGTGGATGGCCGTGCATCGCAACGAAGCAACAAAATGGGAGTTCTCATCTCTTGGCGAAGCCCTGAGAAAAATGATAGGCCACTACAACCTAGAAATAGCATCTATACTATAACCTCAATATATACTTTTTAGCGGCTTCAAATCTGGTGGGGGCTATGGTACAATGGCCTCCTTGTTTTGGACCCTCCCCAGCAGCTCATCCGCCGGCGCCAGCCTTGCTGAAGCCGATCGAGATCTGTCCGCAGCTCAGGATCGCCCCCAACCTGCGCAGGTCCAACCCCTCTTCCCTCACGATGGCCGGGGCCGCATAGGTCAGGGACAGGCGACACACGTAGTACCACGAGTAGCCTCGATGCTCCAAGCGGTCACAACGGCCCAAAACAGTGTTTAGAATACACATGAATACACTAAAGATAGGGAAACAAGGAAACAGCCGAACGAAGGATTCAACAACATTGTTTTTGCACACAGAGCCTCCCGGTGAAAAAAACATAATGCCTAGTGAGGCCTAGTGAGGCCCCAGCAAAAACTTGACGTCAGGCAGGCAGCTGAGCACGAGCCCAAAAACCACCACCAAGCGCTTGCGTTTCCGCTCCCGGTGCTGATGATCCTCCTGTGCCGAGCTGCGCACAGCGATCCGCGAAGACTTGAAGGCCACCCGCGGGTAGGGCCGTGGCGCGAGCGGCGCCAGCGGCAGCAGCGCCAGCTTTGGAGACGCCAAGGGGAAAACGCCCGGGGCAGCTGGGCCGCCGGCGCGCAACATCAGGGAGCCCACCAGCAGCACCAGCGCCAGCTCCAAAGAGACATGGGCCAAGTTTTAAAAATGAAGAGGATCACAAAAGAGAATATGACCCAGCTATTTTGGAAACGCTTTTGGTGTCTGAGTTTGTTTCGCAGCCATGGAGGGGGCTTCAAGATTGGTGGTTTTCCCTAGGATGAGCAGTTTGGTTCTAACTTAGAGGGTGGCAAAGCATGGAACTGATGGGGAACAATTGGGATGAAGCCTCAACATTGCCAGCGACTCGCTGCCTGCCTGGTTTGAACACGTTGCAAACCAAATTTGCACATTTAAGGCAAATCATTGTTTGCAACCAAATTGCCACGGGCATCACGTCTTTTCCAATTTCAAACCAAATGCCTGCAGCATTGGGAGACCAACTGCACCAACAACATCACCATTTCGATTGGGGAAGTGGGTGCCCACAAAACTAAACCTTGCAACTTGTGGATAGCTTGGTGTTTTTGCGGTGGTAATCCACATTAATCCACCGGCAGCCGGCAACCGGCTATCTTTTTGCTCTGCGCTGTCAACATATGGGACCACGGACCCAGGGACATTGGCTGCAGGCTTCATCACTTGCGGTATCCAGAAGTTGACGAGGTCGACTATGGTCCACCATGGTCCACCATGGTCCACCATGGTCCCACTCTCATCCCCTTGGCAAGTCAGCGAAGATATCAGCAACCGTGTCCGCCTCTTAGCGAGATGGCTATCATCAGTAGTGTGGTCGGGTCAGCCGTTCACCCACGCTTGCTGCGGTACCAACGGCGGAAGTCCCGGCGATCTTGGTGCATCCATCCAGCCAATACGTCGCCTAGCATCTGCATCGAGTTCATGGGCTGAGGGTCTCACAAGGTTTAGAGAAGGATCCAAATGAATCCAAATGGCAGTTTTAATCATATCAAGTCCCCCAACTATAGTCCTCCCCAAAATGGCAGCAGTTCGCCCACCTTCAAAGCCACTGACCAACCACAAGGCCGCCCGCAGCACATCGCGGATACAGCGCCAGAGACTCTCGGACTGGGGGGCGGTGCCTGTGGGCCTCGGCAGTGCTCCCAACATCTCCAATTCTGTTGTGGTAAAACCACGTCACCATGTCACCATGTCCGAAAAGGTTACCGATGTTGTAGATCATTTAAGCCTATTATGTCAAAAAAAACATGTTCCAAAAAGCCAACTGTTAAACTACTAGATGGTACCCATTTTTGGGCAAACCCAAAAATGCTGGTTGGTGAAGAACAGGATTCCCAGCTCCTCGATTATGAGTGTCCTCTTGAACGCAGGCACCTCTCAGTTCGTTTCCCCTGCTCCTTGAGATGGTTAAACTCCAATCATTTCTTAGTTTCTAAAACCACTATTTGCTATCAAATACTTTCCACATCATCTGGGGTGTTATCAAAATCCTGAGTTATTAACATGTATAATATATATATAAATATAAATATAAAACCGTAATATTCTCCATGTTTTGCGCAAACCCAGTGAGCTTCCCCCCGGTTTTTAACCAACCTCCAAGGTACAGCTCCACTTCGGCCACGTGGAAGGAGAGGCCATAGAAGCCCAGCAGCAGCGCAGCCACGCCTCTGACGCGCCGCGCGTGGTAGGCGCTGGTGAGCACCACCACGTCCACCGAAGCAGACCCACCTGGCTGCTGGTCATGGTGATGCATGATAACCACTGTGTTTTTGGATATTGAGGATATGAAGTAAGGCTGATTCTCACCAATACTCACCGAGAATGAATGGCCATCATGAAGATTGAAGATGATTATAGATGATTACAATGGGAGGTATGGTCGGGAATTATTTCTAAGTTGAAAAATATGTAATTGTATGGGTAGTTCTATGGTAATAGTCCTGAGGGTGATTGTACAGTGTATAAAAAAATGTTGATATAACTTAACTGTTTTAAATTATAAATTAAAAACGGTTCCAAAATGGATCAGATAGGATGGATAAATCGATTACCTGATTGCCACATGCTTATTTATCATCCGCCCAAGGCACAACTGATTTTGCAATCCCATCCCGCAAAGGGCTACCGTTTGATCCATCCTGGTACTGCGCCCATCTCCCTCTGGGCCTTCCTGCTTCAGCCAGCCCTTTCTTCTGAGGTGGCGCAAGAAACTCGTGAAGTTGGACAAAGTGTCCAAAGCGTCCTGGGCTCTGGTTTCGAGACTCCTAGAACCCGGACCACCGGGAGGCTCCACTCGGTTCACTGCCAAGGCTCACGATCCAACACCAAGAGCTGCTGCAGCAGCTCCCACTGAACTCCCTCCATTCGCTGGAAATCCTCGTGCAGCTTGAAGTGACCACTGGAGAAGAAAGCAACGCGGCCATGCGGCAGCCTGTGCCAGATGAAGCATCTGCATTCAGCAGTGACAAACAATCAGTGATCAAACTTTTCCAGCGGGAAACCTATTGCCTAATAGGGCCTATGGATTTCTCCATGTGCCATGGATTTCCTCCCAAGCCGCCCAAGTCGCCCCTGCCTGGCCAGTTTTGTTCCCAGCTGGGCACCCAGAAGATCGCGCTCCGGCTCTCCGCCGCAGATCAACAGGAAGGGCGTGCCATGGACCAGGCACAGTTCTGCCAGGGCCACCTGGTGGGTTCCGGTGGTGAAAAGCGGTGGGGTGGGAGATGCCACGAAAATGATAGCCATGTTCAGCTTCAAGACTTTCTAGAAATGGTGACTTGATGTGGCTTGTCCACTTTCATATGTTGTTTTTTCCACTTCCAGGTTTTAGCTCCCGCTGCCACGCCACCGATCCAGCAGCTGGATGCTGCCGCAGCAGTGCTGCCGCTCGCTGATGGCACCTCCAGCTACGGGAAGCGGCCACGCACCAGTGACCTGCTTGCGCAGCATCAGGAAGAAGGAGAAATGCCGCAAACCATCAGTTTTCTGACTGTGACACTGGTAGATGTAGTTAGGGGATGAGGATGACGATGACGAGGAGGATGACGATGACGAGGAGGATGAGGATGATGATGATGATGATGATGATGATGATGATGATTCTTGTGATTCTTGTGATTCTTGTGATTCTTGTGATTCTTGTGATTCTTGTGATTCTTGTGATTCTTGTGATTCTTGTGATTCTTGTGATTCTTGTGATTCTTGTGATTCTTGTGATTCTCGTGATTCTTGTGATTCTTGTGATTCTTGTGATTCTTGTGATTCTTGTGATTCTCGTGATTCTCATGATTCTTGTGATTCTTGTGACTTATTCTTGTGATTCTTGTGATTCTTGTGATTCTTGTGACTCTTGTGATTCTTGTGATTCTTGTGATTGTGCAGGCCACATCCTGAAAATCGTAGATGATGATGACGATGATGATGTTAACCATGTAATAAGTATCATTGATGAATATTAATTGCAAACAATGGCAGATGAAGATGTTGATAATCATGGTTGTTAGCTATGAATAGTCACATGTTCTTTATGTATTCCCAAACGTTTTTTATGATATTTTGTGTGATTCTCCTATCCTGCAGCTCGGCGCCGGAAGTCCCACATCTTTGCCGGGCCACCAAGGGCGTACACACTGACAGCCACGGCAAGAAGGAGGAAGATCTGCCGCGAATCGGAAACCATCGGAATCATCGGAAAATCTATATGGAATACTATCAGTATTACTTCACAAACTATCAGTATTACTATATATATTACTATCAGTATTGCAAATGTCTTCCATAACAACTTACTGAAAATTACTGAGCTGAAACCCCAGTCGTTCACCGAGCCTGCAGCCCCAACGGGATGCTGATCATGGGACGTGTCGAGCATGGCTATCGCGGTGGTAATCAAAGGTGGCTGGTGGAAAATCATGGAAAATCCTCTGGAGATGGTGAGTTTTCAATGTCTCCTAATTTTCGGATTGGTTGAAGCTTCACAAAATGTGCCTAGAGATCAGACCAGCGTTCCCAGGATTTGGGTTCTACATGGTTCTACCAAACTCTGCTGGAGGTTCTACCTTTTGGCCCCTCAAAAAAGTCCTTTTTCATCCTTTTCCATTTCCCTTTTGGTGGGCTACGAGGGCGTCATCTCCATCATCAACCCCAGGTCACTACCCAAGTCGTCCTTTCAAGCGAGGCGGAGATTCTCTGCACAAGTCTCCGCAAACTCTACGGGGTTCACTTTGGAACCCCAGATCCACCACGCTTTGAGGGCTGGTCCTCAAGATCGAAAGCTCAACGACAGATGGTGACTCTAGCGCTTTGTGGTGTGATCATCCCAAGAGTTTGGGAAAGATCACTCTCCCAGAATCCCATTCCTCCATTCATAACCCATCATAAACCACAGTGGATGTAGAGGATTCCCGCATATTTGTCATATTAGGGGCCACCTCCACAGGATCCGTCCCTTCGCTGCCAGAAGACTCTCCCCCTGGGTCGCCAGCAATGGGAGGCTACGTGCCTCCACGGCTGCGCATGAAAACGGGCATGGATCAAAAAGGCGGTACACCACTGATCCCAACCCCTTAAAGCGAATACGTGACTGACTGTCAAGGGCCAGGCCCAGCTCCTACTTATTTGTGTAACCAATTTAACCAATTTGGGCTCAATCAATGCTTTCTTGTAGTCTGAACAGGGCTGCTCACTCTATGCTTTGTACAACTCCCTCCGTCAGAAGCGATGGCTGCATTGCGCCATGTCAGAAGGCAAAACGCTTCCAAAAGTCACAAAATTACCTAATGTTGAAATGTCATGCCCCAGACCCGGTCACAACTCATAACCCTGATGATTGGATATGATTCGAATAAAATACCAGCGTCTTTTCAACATCTGACCGTGGGGTATTGTCAGCAACCTTCCTGCGCGCAGCGCTTCACTCGGTGGGTGGCACGGTTTCGCCCCAGAAGAAGAACTCGCAGTGACGCTCCTCGGGACGGGCTGAGCTCGGCAATTTTTGGGAGATGGTAAGGTAATCACATCGAGATGGGGATAGTTACGGATAGTTGCCAATTCATCAACCAAGATGGGTAGCTTCCAGGTCCAATAGGTGATGTAAATCTGGTGAAGTGACCAACTTGGGCCATTTGGGGGTTCAAGAACTGGAACCTTCAGATAAAAAGGCTAGAGTCAGGCCCGTTTCTCTAGCATGATCACGGAGTGGAAGAATTCCACAAGTGTTCCTAAAACATCAACATCCATCATCAGCTATATACATCCCCATGTTTCATCATGTTTCTTTGTCAAATCCTGATCTTTCCGTCCCTTTCGTCACTTTCCTCCCCGCATTGGCCCTGCGCCAAAGCATCCGCTTCCGGTGGAAGGCCCAAACCCTCTTCCAGCATCTCTCGTTCTGCAGCCTCGCGGCGCAGCTGAAGGGGCAAGTCCTGATTCCGCCAAGGCGCGCCCCTCAAAATCGAGCTGTTGAGGCAAAAATCAGCAGCTTCCCATATTTTCTCCACATTGAAAATATGCTATCTCGAACTCAACTGCTTAAGAGTCATCAGTTTTCTTCCATCATTTGGTTTTGCATCAGTTGTACAGGTTTTTTGTATAATATAATATATATATACACACACTATACATCACTATAATATCCATAATTGCCATTTTTTGCTAATCATTTGGCATGAAAATCGGCCAAATTTGGAGCTCCGAAAAGGCCGTCCTTCACCTCCAGGGGCCAACGCATGGCCTCGCGCCGCACGGCCGCGAAGAGCAGCTTCCCCACGCGCTGCCCCACGTCGCTGGCCAGGGCCTCGTTCCAGGCCTCGGTCTGGTGATGGCTATGATACAGTTAGCAACCACTGAAACCCCTAAAAGGTAAGAAATCCTAGGGAAATAAGTGTGAAACATGAAGTTTGGAGACATAGTAGCGCCCAAAAGATTACAAAGATCCAGGGGAAAAGGATCAAAATAAATTAAATGTTAGGATTGAATCTTGTTTTTCTCCAACTTTTCGTGGAGTTGCCATACCATGGTTAAAGATCTTGGAATGAGTGATGCAATGGGGGACATACGAAGTTTGGAACTCGTTTCCATGGCATGATTTTGGGAGTGGTCCCCTTCTTGTTGCATCCGCAAACTTGGCCATCAACATGAATCAATATGACCCGTTTCTAACGGAATAAGGAAGATTGACGCCGTAAGTTTGACATGGAACCCCAAAATGACCATATCCAGGGACGGATATCATTTTCCCAACCCCATTTTTTTGTGGTTCCAAGTTAAGTCTATGGAATGAGTTTACCCCTTAGATCCGCAAAGTGGGTCCCCGAGGGAACGGCTACTACTTGAAGTCTATGGTTTATGGTAGATATATCAACCTAGTTCATGGACATTGTGAGAACCAAAGTATGCCCACTCATTCGGGAAATCCTCGATGTACATCCATTTATTCCATGGATTTATAGAAGATTCGATGTACATCCATTTATATCATTTATTCCATGGCAGATATATCAACCATGGATTTTTCATGGACTTTCCCATGTCTTCAGCGTTTCACTGGTTTCACTGGGACGGCCCGCCTCACCCTCGCCTATGCCGCGGGCCGTGCGCAGGCTCATGTCGAAGAGCTGGGCCAAGCCCTTGGTTTTTCAATGTGGGACCCGTGAAAAGCTGGACTTCACCCCTGGAAATGGGCTTCAAACTCCAAAAAATGTATGATCAATATGCATTCATATGGATTTACCGGAGAAAGGTAAGGAAATGATATTAATGTATTGCGATTTTATGATGGGGAAGTTGGTTATTTGTGCTGGATATCATGGATATAGTTACAGTAGATGAGGCTATAAACCATCTTACTGGGGGTTCCAATCCTATCTATCAGCATGTCTTAGAAGATCATCCTGGATTGGGAGTCAAGGATAGTCCAAACCAATGGCACCCCATTCCATATAAAAAAGGCTTCAAACACCCATATCATACTTGTTGGCATTGCACACAACAAAATATTATATGTATATGATATCTCTATCTATATATATATGTGTGTGTATATATATATTCCATCATATCCCCACAGAATGGCCGATACCATCCATTGAATCCCCCAATTGATCACCAATTTGGAAACAAAACCAAGCTCTACGGCTACGGCACCTGCGAGGAGAGTTGGAGCAACATGGCCCCTGTGATTTTGGGCGGCAGCACCAGGTATTTGAAGAGGCCGTTGTTCACCGTCCTGATCCACCTGGGATGTGATCGTTGTGGCAAAACAAGGCCAAAACAACCATCCAAAAAATGTGCAGAAAAAAAAAAAGAAAAAAAAAAATAATAAAAAGATCAGGAACATTTTTTATGGATGGTTATGAACTTGGGTTCCAAAATTTGAGGGATGTACTTTTGAAATCGTTTTTTTGGGACCACCGGGACCACTAAACTGGGGGGAACCCATGGATTTCCCCAGCTACCCCAAACCCTGCATTCATCGCCCAGCAGCAAGTTCACCTCCTCGTTGCTCCATTCCCAAAGGGGCCGGCAACATTCGTTAAGATTACCAAAATTATAAATTTTAATGGTATAAATTACCAATTTTGTTGCTCATTTTTAATCTTATCAAAAAAAAAACCATGAAATGTTGCAAGATTACCTCCGGAACCACTCACCCTACTGATCTAGTCTGATTTTTGTCTGCTGCAAAGGAGAGATCGCATCGTTTCACAAGCCACATCCCATGTCCACGGTGGCACTTCGACCAGCAATTTTGTCCATCACATCTTTCGGCGTTAGGAGGTTGATGCAATTCTTCTTGAAACCGACATCAAACGCAACCAATATATACCGTTAAAAACAAAGTTAGAATGCGGTTTTGGCTTCGCGTGATGGTGGCCCGTTTGGCCCCCCCCCACGGCAGACGCATTCTAACTGAAGGAACACCTGTAAATATGCAGAAACACAGTTAGAATGCGGCGCCAAAATTGGTAAGAAAATGTAAGTTTTGACTGGTATTTTACAGGCGAAATACAGTTAGAATGCCTCCTCCTTTTCTTCTATATTGTTCCTTGCCCTTCCTTTTCTTCTATGTCTTTTTCATTGATCTATATCTGCTGTCGTTTCCGGGGAGGCATTCTATCTGTTGTTTTTCCACTGTAGCCACATGTTTCTGACCCGCAGGGAACCTGGAGTGCCCTTGTCTCTTTTCCGACCTTATCCTCTTCCCTTTTCTCCTCCTTTTCTTCTATATTGTTCCTTACCCTTCCTTTTCTTCTATGTCTTTTTCATTGATCTATATCTGCTGTAGTTTCCGGGGAGGCATTCTATCTGTTGTTTTCCCCACTGTAGCCATATGTTTCTGACCCGCAGGGAACCTGGAGTGCCCTTGTCTCTTTTCCGACCTTATCCTCTTCCCTTTTCTCCTCCTTTTCTTCTATATTGTTCCTTACCCTTCCTTTTCTTCTATGTCTTTTTCATTGATCTATATCTGCTGTAGTTTCCGGGGAGGCATTCTATCTGTTGTTTTCCCCACTGTAGCCATATGTTTCTGACCCGCAGGGAACCTGGAGTGCCCTTGTCTCTTTTCCGACCTTATCCTCTTCCCTTTTCTCCTCCTTTTCTTCTATATTGTTCCTTACCCTTCCTTTTCTTCTATGTCTTTTTCATTGATCTATATCTGCTGTAGTTTCCGGGGAGGCATTCTATCTGTTGTTTTTCCCCACTGTAGCCATATGTTTCTGACCCGCAGGGAACCTGGAGTGCCCTTGTCTCTTTTCCGACCTTATCCTCTTCCCTTTTCTCCTCCTTTTCTTCTATATTGTTCCTTACCCTTCCATTTCTTCTATGTCTTTTTTATTGATCTATTCTGCTGTAGTCTCCGGGAGGCATTCTATCTGTTGTTTTCCGCACTGTAGCCATATGTTTCTGACCCGCAGGGAACCTGGAGTGCCCTTGTCTCTTTTCCGACCTTATCCTCTTCCCTTTTCTCCTCTTTTTCTTCTATATTGTTCCTTACCCTTCCTTTTCTTCTATGTCTTTTTCATTGATCTATATCTGCTGTAGTTTCCGGGGAGGCATTCTATCTGTTGTTTTCCCCACTGTAGCCAGATGTTTCTGACCCGCAGGGAACCTGGAGTGCCCTTGTCTCTTTTCCGACCTTATCCTCTTCCCTTTTCTCCTCCTTTTTCTTCTATATTGTTCCTTACCCTTCCTTTTCTTCTATGTCTTTTTCATTGATCTATATCTGCTGTTGTTTCCGGGGAGGCATTCTATCTGTTGTTTTCCCCACTGTAGCCATATGTTTCTGACCCGCAGGGAACCTGGAGTGCCCTTGTCTCTTTTCCGACCTTATCCTCTTCCCTTTTTCTCCTCCTTTTCTTCTATATTGTTCCTTACCCTTCCTTTTCTTCTATGTCTTTTTCATTGATCTCTATCTGCTGTAGTTTCCGGGGGGGCATTCTATCTGTTGTTTTCCGCACTGTAGCCATATGTGTCTGACCCGCAGGGAACCTGGAGTGCCCTAGTCTCTTTTCCGACCTTATCCTCTTCCCTTTTCTCCTCCTTTTCTTCTATATTGTTCCTTACCCTTCCTTTTCTTCTATGTCTTTTTCATTGATCTATATCTGCTGTAGTTTCCGGGGAGGCATTCTATCTGTTGTTTTCCCACTGTAGCCATATGTTTCAGACCCACAGGGAACCTGGAGTGCCCTTGTCTCTTTTCCGATCTTATCCTCTTCCCTTTTCTCCTCCTTTTCTTCTATATTGTTCCTGACCCTTCCTTTTCTTCTATGTTTTTTTCATTGATCTATATCTGCTGTAGCTTCCGGGGAGGCATTCTATCTGTTGTTTTCCCCACTGTAGCCTTATGTTTCTGACCCACAGGGAACCTGGAGTGCCCTTGTCTCTTTTCCGATCTTATCCTCTTCCCTTTTCTCCTCCTTTTCTTCTATGATGTTCCTTACCCTTCCTTTTCTTCTATGTCTTTTTCATTGATCTATATCTGCTGTAGCCTTATCCTCTTCCCTTTTCTCCTCCTTTTCTGCTATATTGTTCCTTACCCTTCCTTTTCTTCTATGTCTTTTTCATTGATCTATATCTGCTGTAGTTTCCGGGGAGGCATTCTATCTGTTGTTTTCCCCACTGTAGCCATATGGTTCTGACCCGCAGGGAACCTGGAGTGCCCTTGTCTCTGTTCCGACCTTATCCTCTTCCCTTTTCTCCTCCTTTTCTTCTTTATTGTTCCTTACCCTTCCTTTTCTTCTATGTCTTTTTCATTGATCTATATCTGCTGTAGTTTCCGGGGAGGCATTCTATCTGTTGTTTTTCCCACTGTAGCCAGATGTTTCTGACCCGCAGGGAACCTGGAGTGCCCTTGTCTCTTTTCCGATCTTATCCTCTTCCCTTTTCTCCTCCTTTTCTTCTATATTGTTCCTTACCCTTCCTTTTCTTCTATGTCTTTTTCATTGATCTATATCTGCTGTCGTTTCCGGGTGGCATTCTATCTGTTGTTTTTCCACTGTAGCCACATGTTTCTGACCCGCAGGGAACCTGGAGTGCCCTTGTCTCTTTTCCGACCTTATCCTCTTCCCTTTTCTCCTCCTTTTCTTCTATATTGTTCCTTACCCTTCCTTTTCTTCTGTCTTTTTCATTGATCTATATCTGCTGTAGTTTCCGGGAGGCATTCTATCTGCTGTTTTCCCCACTGTAGCCAAATGTTTCTGACCCGCAGGGAACCTGGAGTGCCCTTGTCTCTTTTCCGACTTATCCTCTTCCCTTTTCTCCTCCTTTTCTTCTATATTGTTCCTTACCCTTCCTTTTCTTCTATGTCTTTTTCATTGATCTATATCTGCTGTAGTTTCCGGAGAGGCATTCTATCTGTTGTTTTCCCCACTGTAGCCATGCGTTTCTGACCCGCACGAAACCTGGAGTGCCCTTGTCCCTTTTCCGATTTTATCCTCTTCCCTTTTATCCTCCTTTTCTTCTATATTGTTCCTTACCCTTCCTTTTCTTCTATGTCTTTTTCATTGATCTATATCTGCTGTAGTTTCCGGGGAGGCATTCTATCTGTTGTTTTCCCTGCTGTAGCCAGATGTTTCTGACCCGCAGGGAACCTGGAGTGCCCTGGTTTCTTTTCCGACCTTATCCTCTTCCCTTTTCTCATCTTCTTCTTCTATATTGTTCCTTACCCTTCCTTTTCTTCTGTCTTTTTCATTGATCTATATCTGCTGTAGTTTCCGGGGAGGCATTCTATTTGTTGTTTTTCGCACTGTAGCCATATGTTTCTGACCCGCAGGGAACCTGGAGTGCCCTTGTCTCTTTTCCGACCTTATCCTCTTCCCTTTTCTCCTCCTTTTCTTCTATATTGTTCCTTACCCTTCCTTTTCTTCTATGTCTTTTCATTGATCTATATCTGCTGTAGTTTCCGGGGAGGCATTCTATCTGCTGTTTTCCCCACTGTAGCCATATGTTTCTGACCCGCAGGGAGCCTGGAGTGCCCTTGTCTCTTTTCCGACCTTATCCTCTTCCCTTTTCTCCTCCTTTTCTTCTATATTGTTCCTTACCCTTCCTTTTCTTCTATGTCTTTTTCATTGATCTTATATCTGCCGTAGTTTCCGGGGAGGAATTCTATCTGTTGTTTTCCCCACTGTAGCTAGATGTTGCTGACCCGCAGGGAACCTGGAGTGCCCTTGTCTCTTTTCCGATCTTATCCTCTTCCCTTTTCTCCTCCTTTTCTTCTATATTGTTCCTTACCCTTCCTTTTCTTCTATGTCTTTTTCATTGATCTATATCTGTTGTAGCCTTATCCTCTTCCCTTTTCTCCTCCTTTTCTGCTATATTGTTCCTTACCCTTCCTTTTCTTCTATTTTGTTTCATTGATCTATATCTGCTGTTGTTTCCGGGGAGGCATTCTATCTGTTGTTTTCCCCACTGTAGCCATATGTTTCTGACCCGCAGGGAACCTGGAGTGCCCTTGTCTCTTTTCCGATCTTATCCTCTTCCCTTTTCTCCTCCTTTTCTATATTGTTCCTTACCCTTTCTTTTCTTCTATGTCTTTTTCGTTGATCTAATTCCGGAAGATGTTTTTATTCTATGTATAGGTTTTTTTACCGATTCCGGGAGATGTTTTTGAGGCCGAACTTATCGATTCTGTATTCTATGTATCCCATCGGGATTATATATATATATATTTACACACGCGTTTTTGCACATATCTGTACAACTTGAAGGGGAACCATTCTATTTGCGGAAATGCTGGTA